CCAAGTCTGGATGTTCCATGATGACTGGCCTTGTCCTGCATCGGAGATGCCCAGAGGACCAGCACAGAGCTCAGAAAGGACCACCAGGACCCCGCGCTGGGGCAGCTAACTGGATCTGCCTTGTCAGTTTTCTATAAGAAGCTTGAGGCCAGGGTCTCATATGCACCTCAGCCCTGGGGGCCCCTGGGCAGCAGGGCTGGCTTCTCCAGATAAAGCAGTGGAGATGAAGGAGCCAGGCACTTCCGGCCCTCGGAGCTTCCCCCAAATCTTTGACTGTCCTTCCTGCAGAATGGCCGCTCCCCGTCAGGGGCAACCTGGCCCCTGGGGCTGCGTGTGGCAATGTCTGGAGGAACTTCTGGTTGTCACAACTGAGCAGGTGGAAGATCCAGCAGGCCAAGTCCAGGAATTCTGCTCAGCGTCCTACAGCGCAGGGGATCCCTCATACCCCTGCCACACACACAGGGGTCACCTGGCCTGCAAGGCTGAGAAACTGCCGTCTGGAACCAGGCTTCCTCTGTGTGACTTCAGGGAGCAGAATAGGGACGTACCGGTGGAAATGATGGACAGGCAGAGTCTGGCTCAGTTCTCAGGAGAGCTTCCTAACACCGAGAATTCACAACCAGGGCCTGGGTGGCCAGTGGAGGTAGTGAGCTCCCCGTAGAGGGAGGCAGTCAAGGTGCAGCTGTGCCAGGAAGGGACTATGGTGGGAAGAATGCTGCAGCGAGGTTAGGAGAGACTCAGCTCTGCCACAGCCTGACGACCCTGGCAGGTCACTGCATCCACAAAATAAAGCGAAGACCCTGATCAGTGGTTCTCACCCAGGAGTGGGCAGGGCTCTTAGTGGCGTTTGGTGCATGGAGGCTGGTGACGTCCTGAAAGGCCCAACCAGTGGGCCGTGGCCCCTGATACTGTCAGTATCCCCACGTCACCAGGAGACGCTGGGCCAGAGGGAGAGGACTTTGGTCCAAGCTGGACCTTGTTGGGAACTTCGCAGAGCCAGGAGGTCAGGTTCTGAGTCAGACAGCATTGCTGGAAATTTCTGGGCAAGGGGCTCCAAGAGAGAGGAATGGGGGCCCCCAGATCTTCCCAGGAAGCTCTAAGGAGTGGGGAGCCCATCGTGCTGTGCGCTAGGATTGACACAATATGGCAAATTGACTAGACTTCAACTGAAAAAGACTAGAGGAGGCTTTCTGAGCTGGATTAGGAAGCCGGGGCGGCCTGCCCTCTCACCCCAGAGGGTCCTTCATAAGATGCATTTTTCCAGCCTTCTCTTCCAGGGAAGGGTCCCCTCTTCTGGAAAACCAACCTGCCCCTTTACCAGATGCTGTGTCCTGGGCCAACCAGAGTGTTTCCCTTTCTGCCGTGGACACCAGGAAGCTCAAAGCCCCAGTCCAGGCTCCGTCCCCAAGGGCCAGCCTCTCCTCCACGAGAGGCGCCATTTCTCTTCAGCCTCCACTTTGACTGCCTCTGCTAGTGAGCCCGTCTCTAAACACAGTCACAGGAACGGGGGCTCTTCTAGGGCTCGTGGCAGCAAGGACGGCTGTGAGCTCCTTTTAGGCACGCTCCTCCCGGAACAGCCCTGGAAGCAGGCGCTATGATCATGTTCCTTTGCAGGAGGCAGGCACGGAGGGACAGTTTCATGTGGTGCCCTGCGACCTTCTGGAAGCAGCCCGGGGTTCGCGTCAGGAGCGTGAACAGACGCTGGACGGCCGGAGCTCCGGGTGCCCCTGGACCCCTTTCCCCAGGAAGTGCATCGTTCTGACCGTGCGCAGGGACAAGGTCTGCACGTGGCACCACCACGTCCGAAGGACTGACCCACTCCAGGCCCGGGGCCGGGGAGCAGGGAGGGAGGCTGAGCTTTCAAGAAAGCCGTTCTGCTGGGTGCCCTGGCCTCATGCTTGTCTCGTGCACACGCACCTCTAACCCCAAGGACGCCTTGAGGGGCTGTAACTAGATCCTTAGGGGGAAAAGGGCTGCGAAGTCCAGCCTGGCCCCAGGGGCCATCCACGGAGAAGGCGAGCGTGAACCTGGTCCAGCCGAGTCCTGCTCAGCGGCGACGCCGCGGCCCCACCCTCCCGCTGCCCCGCCTGACCGAGCCCGCTTCGCGGAACCGCCCCGCCGCGGGGCTTTGCCATCAGGCCTCAGTTTGCCCTCCGAAGCCCAGCACCGCGGGAAGACCCCCAACGCTCGCCGAGGGGCCCCACCGCGCCCCAGCGCAGCCCGGAAGCTGTGCAGACTGAGCGGCCGGCGCCCGCCCCGCCCGGGCGACACTCACAGCGCAGCCGTCCACCAGGGCACGGACGTAGGGGGCTGTTGTCGTAGGACATCTCCTCGTCATTGGAGCCCAGGAGGCGCATGGCCTTGTCGTAGCTGCCCGTGGCGGCGTCCTGCCAGGCCACCGACTGGTAGCAGTGGTAGGTGATGTTCTGGTGGGCGGAGGCACTCAGCAGCCGCAGGAAAGTCATCTGGACCACGCCCACGGGGTTGCCCTCGGCGTCCACATAGGAGAGCTGTCAGGGCACAGGGAGGGGCACTCAGCAGTGCGGGACGCACCTGCCGCAGCGGCAAGGCCCCTCGTCCTCACTGCCCGGGCTCCGTGCACTTTGGTCATGCACTGTGGCCTCTGGACGGTCAGCCTTGCCAAGGGCAATGCCTGGAAATGTGTGGCAAGCCCAGCCCCCAGGCCAGCCCGCGCTGGCTCTCTCGGGAGTTCCCTGGGACAGAGGGAACCACGCCTCATTTCTTTCAGGGACCTAAATAACCCTCCCACTCCTCTCTGCCTGGCTGGTCTCCACTCACCCTCCAGGGCTCAGCTCATGTGCTTCCTACTCCAGGAAGCCTGCCAGGGTTAGGTGCCCTCCTCAACCTTGGCCTGGCTCAGTGTCCACCTTTCCTACCAGCTAAGGCCCTTCACAGCGGCGCTGGCCTCCTGACTTGGAGGCCCCTGGTGAGCCTGGACCGGGCGCCTGGGGGAAGGGCCTGGCAGTACATCCCTGTCGCTGGGCCCCAAGGCCGGCCGAAGCAAGGAGCTCCTTAGGTCACACTAGTAAATGAAAGCCATTGGCTGAGCATCCGTGATGCACAAGGACCTGGCTAGGGCCGTGAGAACTGGAGACAGAAAGGGCAGGAGGCCTCAGGGAGCAACAGGCCAGCTGGGCGTGAGGCAGGGGTGCTTGGCCTGCAGCGAGGAAGGCCAGCCTGTGAGGGGGTCACAGGCCACATGGCCAAGAGCCAGAGGACTGGGGGGAGTGGGCACCCTCCCGGAGGCACAGGGGAGAGGCCACCCCTGCCCTTCCTGGGCGAGGACTCGAGGTGGGAGCAGAGCAGGCCTTCCTGGGGGCCTGGGGCCTGGGGTGGTCAGCCTGGGGCCTGGGGCCAAGGGCCTGGGGTGGTCAACCTGGGGCAGTCGGCCTGGGGCCTGGGGTGGTCAGCCTGGGGCCTGGGGCCTCGGGTGGTCAGCCTGGCCCACGCTGAGCGGGCAGCCGGGGCGCCCGGTGACAGGACCCTCACTGCAAGGCCCCCCCTCTGGCCTCTGCCCGCAAAGCCGCACGGGACACCCGGGAGCGGACAAGCTGCTTCTCAAGTGCCTTCTCAGCGCGGCCGCTGGACGGACGCTGGGCTGAGGTGGATCTGTTTCTGTGTCTTTCTGAGCTGCTGGCCACGCCAGGGAGCGGGGACGGGGAGCATCTGATCTCCCCCCCAGGCCCTCCTCACAAACCCAGCAGAGCAAGCCTGGCCCACTGTGTCTCCCCAGCAGAGGAGGGGGCGCGGGTCCCCTCCTGACAGTGCCCATGGGATCGCTGGCCGCTGTGTCTCGGACCCTGCCCCCCACCCCAAAATGCAGCCATGCTAAACACACCAGGGAGAATTTAAATTGACGCTGTCCACTTATTTAGAGAGATACATATGCAACTAGAGCTGCATGCGGTGGGCGGGGCCTGAGCCCCCTCCCTCCCTGCGGGGTGGGGAGGGCACAGAGCGCCGGCCAGCTCCCTGCGCGGCCACCGGACACTGACTTCCAGCTGGGCTTGAGGAGAGAGAGTTATACCAACCGCAGTCCGGGCCGTCAGGGTTCCTCTTGGACGGACGGTGACTGACTGGAGGAGGGACGCATGCGCAGAGAAAGGCCGGGGGGCAGGGGGACGGGTGGTGCACTGGACACAGAAGGACCTGAAGCCACCAGTGCCGGGCGGGTACCCGGGGGGCTGGCATGGTGGAGCCTCTGCTCCGTGTTGGATCCCAGAGCCCCGGCGTGAGCCCTGGCCTCCCGGTGGGGAAGGGGCTCTGCAGGACCATCTCCATGGGGGACGCCCAGGGCAGCCAGCCCAGAAAAGCACCTGTTTCACCAGGGAGGGAGCTGGCATCTACACCCCGTCCACTCCGAGAGTCAGGGGAGCCGGAAATGATGCAGTGGGGAAGTGCAAAAGGTGAGCCGCTATCTCCCCAGGAAATTCCCTGCACCTCCGTCCTCGGCCAACTGTGCGAAACAAAGGACGAAAGGAGGAGGCGGGCTCTGGGCTGGTGGCCGAAAGTGGCGGTCCTGTCACCGCTCCCTCGGAGCCAGGTAGGTGGGTGCGGGCGGTGGGGGGCCCTGTCTGGAGAAGGCAACCTCCACGGCTGTGGAAAGGACCCCTTTGCTCCTGAGCCCTGCGTCCCCTACCCTCGCACTCTGTCCACTGACTCAATTTGCACTGGTCACTGCCCCCCCCGAATGGGCATCCACATGAGGTCCTTCTGTGTGCCAGCTGCTCCTTTCTGAGGAGAGCGCCAAGGAGGTGAAGGGGAGGAGAAACGGCAGGAGAGAGAGGAGGCGAGGGGGCCCGCGGTCCAGACACAGGGCAAGAGGCAGTGCCCAGACGCGGCGAGGCGAGCGTGAGCCTTCAGTGTCTGGGAAGAACTGGGGTGACTGGGAAGGTGGCACGAAGCGCGTGAGGCATTAACAATGAGCTCGGAGCGCCCCCGGGTCTCAGAACCAGAGGTCCTCGGGGTGCGGCAGGCAGAGGCCGGTGAGCTGGAAGGTCCTGCTCGGGGTCCCAGGGTGCAGGGAAACGTGTCCGCTCCCCACGCGGGGAGGCCGGCTCAGGGCAGAGGGCCAGCTCGGAAGTCCTGAGACCCAAGAGCTGGCTTCCAAGTGAACAAGGACGTCCTTCCAGGTGGGACAACAAGCCCGAGGGGGGCACACGGGAAACAGGGAGCTCCGTGACATCTGCTGCGTGGCCGCGTCTGGAGCCTAGGCCTTTCACTTGCCGGGAAGGGAGCACAGAACTCTGCACTTTATTCCAGGACAGGGCCCACACCCGACTCTGGAGGTGTTCGGGAAACGCTCTGCTCCGCAGAAGCAGCCACCAGCCTCCCGTGATCGGGCTCAAGCCGGCCTCGGGCTCTGTACCGTCGGGAAAAGCACCACGTTCGGTTCCTTCAAGGAACACCAGTTGCTTTTCCCCTCTGGGACGACTCAAGACTGGCTCCCCAGAAGCTAACACAGGGACCAGCACAGTGGGGTGGACGCAGCGGAGAAGCCCCGAGCCGACTGCAACGGGACGGCCCCGCCGGGGCGGGGCGCTGGTGGGCGGGTCCTAGGAAGTACCGGATGGTTTAATGGTCCAGGACCCACGTCACCGGAGCTGTCCCCTGGGACCTAGCAAAATCAACCCTCCACTCCTGGCATCTTTGGTCTCAACTCCCGCAGCGCCCAGCTGCGGCGCTGGCGCCCTGCATGCCACCCTCATGTCCTCCACCTGCACCCGGCTGCTCCCCGCTAACCTGGACCCTCGCTGGGTGGCGGGAGGGGCGCCGGCCTGAGTCTGGCGGTCACGGCCGGGCAGCAGTCTGGCTGGCGGCGAGAGCGGGAGTGGCGCTGGGCAGGGAGGTTAGTCCCATGCAGAGCCGAGCCAGGCCGTGCCGCAAGCAGGCAGCCCCGTGGCCACTTACCAGGGACCCCCGCTTGTACTGACTGTACCAGGTGGAGGGCTGCTCTTTGGGCCAGCGGGCCATTTTACTCTGCAAGATACGAAACGGGTGGGTTTAAACGACACCGCACAGGAGTCGGGGGCTGTCTTACCAGTTTGCCACGCTTGAATTCACTGAACCAGGAACCTGGGTTTTCTTTGGGCCAAGAAGTGATTCTGGCCTAAACATTGAGGGGGGCGGGGAGGGAGAGAAACAGAACGACAGGGTTACTTCTGCCTCCTGGAGACACGCTCCCCCATCTGCGAACATGCCTTCTCCCCGCCGAGCGGGCCTGCGTCCTGCCTTCCTGGAGATGCCGAGACGGCGGGCCGGCCCGGGAGGCTCCCGGAGGCGCCCTGGCTCCCCCAGAGCAGGGCCGCTCGCCCTACAGCGGAGCCCAGACCGTGATCGGGACAGGGGAGCCTGGTGCTCCCGGGGGCCGCCATCTGCTTCATGTGCACGATCAGAGTCTGCGTCTCCACAGTTTTGAGTCTCCAGCACCCAGTACAGAGCCTGGCACGCCGCAACTGCGGGGAATGCTCATGGCGTGAACAAAGGCGGGCTGAGTGAGTGGTTCCCACTCTCCTCCATGAAGACACTGAGGGTGATACGGACACTTCCCGCTGGGCCAAGGGAAGATGGGTGGGCATCCTGTCTGACCCGAGGGGCGTGGCTCCATCTTCAGGTCCTCTACACGGGACAGAGTGGGCAGGGGCCCTCTTGGGGTCCAGCTGGGCGTGAGGTATGCGTGTGTGTGTCTCTGTATGGCGGGTGCATACGCGATATGTGTGCGCGGTGTGGTGCGTGTGTACCTGGGATGAGTGTGGCGTGCGGTGCGGGGGGGTGTGTGTATCTGTGTGTGTTCAGTGTGGGTGTGGTGTGTGTCTCTGCATGTGCTGTGTGTACAGAGGGCGTGCGTGTGAGTGTTGGTGAGTGTGTGGTGGGGCATTCTCCCTGGGGAGAGTGGCCTGGGAGGGGGGTCCCCGTGAGCACTAGGGGGACCCGCGGTCCAGAGAGCTTCCCCGAGGCGGCAGCAGGAAGCCGAGCGTCCGGCCCTTCCTGGGAGGGAGGGGCTCCCGCCTGGCGTTTGCTCCGCAGAGGGCAGGGCCGCAGCGCCCACAGGCCGGCCTAGCTCCCAGCGGGGCCTCGGGAGTGCCGTGGAAGCAATGGGTGAAGGAACGACCCCTCCCGCAGAGTGGAACATGCCGCCACCGCCCGTGGTTTGCTCGCTGCAGGTGCAGAGACCCGGAGCAGAACACAAGTGCCCACTGGTCCAGCCTGTGGCCAGCGTCCCTCGGGTCATCTCCATGGGCCCCGGGTCCTGGTCCCCATCCCCTGGCTCCTCCTCTGAGCTGGCCTCATGCAGGGGAGCCCGAAAAGGGGCCCGGCTGGAGGAGGAGCATGCCCGGCCTGCTCCCCGTGCTCAGGACCCTCTCGCTCTGGCTCTGCACCTGCCGCTGTCAGCACCGAGCCCAGAAAGCTCAGGGTGGCCTCCAGGGAGCAGGGCCAGAGGTGTGGGCAGGCGCAGGCCTCGTCCCGGACTTCTGCCCTCCGCCCCCACCTGTCCCACTGCCCTGCAGCCCGGGCGACCGGGCAGAGGGTCTCAGCCTGCACGAGGCTGAGCCACCACGGCCTGAGCCCAAGGCCCCGTGGACCCCTGCTGGGCAGCACGCGGGCAAGGAGCACGAGGGGCAGTGGGGGTCACGCAGTGCCCCAAGCCCGCTGTCCGCCCTGCCCCACCACCTGCCAGGGCTCCGGGGTGGGCGGCCCTAACAGTCCTCCAGCATCGAGGCCGCTGGCAGAAGACGAACAGCCGCAAGTAGGCTGCGAGATTCCTGAGTTTCCACCCAAGTTTCCGCCTGCGCCCCCGTCAGGCGCAGGGGTCCTGAGGTTCGGGTTTTCTTTTGAAACCCACGGATTTTGCTGCCAGAACTGCAGGTTCCCGAGGATTTCAAATTCCAGGTTGGGGGAGCGTGAACATAAAACAGGGGTCCCCGAACTGGCCCCGTCAGCGCAGAGCCCCGGCTCCTTCCGGCTCACGGGGGTCCAGCGGGCCCCGCCGTGACAGTGACACTCAGGGACAGGGGACTGTGCCCAGGAGGACGTAGCCACTCTTCCTCTAGAGGAAGCGCTGCCCTCGGCCTGGGGCTCGGGACATCACGGGGGACGGTGTGTTCAGGCGGAGGCAGAGGGCACTGTGGCCGAAGCCTTGCCCTTCCCAGGTGGAGACCTCGGCGCCTCACCTGTCCTGGGCCAGAGTGGCTTTGGTCCCAGACACGTGTGTGAGAGAAAGCAGTGCACGCCTCCCGGGCACACCCATCCACGCGCCACCCTCACGCCCCATCCGTGCACACTGGTTCACACCCACCCACGCACACCGAGACCCCACCAGAGGTGACGCCGCTGAAGGACCACGGAGGTGACTGTTAAACTGACGTGCCACAGAATCTCAACGGATCAGAATCTCGAAAACCAACAATTTCTCCTGAACAGACTTTAAAGGAATGCACAGCAACTCAGGACCAGCTAGCACGGAAGGCAGCTGACCCTAAGAATTCCGCAAACACCAGCTTCTAAAAGACGCACTTGGGTCACTTTTGCCCCGGAAGTTCTTCCGTGGGGCTCAGGTGGGCCTGAGGTCAGAACCGCAGGGTCACCTTGCTAAGGCTTTGACCCCGGTGGCTGAGACCCCAGCACTGGGGGTGGGTGGAAGGCACCCGTGAGCAACGTGCCCCTCTGACCTTCCGCAAGCCAAGGACGCACGAAGCCCATCCCATCGCTAGAAACTTCTTTTTGAAGCAAATCCAAGTCTACTTCTGGGGGGAATAAGGCTTGATTTGGGAGCTGGCCAGTTTCTGGTTTTCATTCTAAAAGCCGCACGCACGTGGCGCAGCAGGGCCTGGCCTGGCCCGGCCGGGAGGGGAGGCGGCGCGGCGGCGGGTACTCACCCCCTCGGACTTCTTGTCGGGGAAGATGCACGTGGCACCCCCGCCTGTGAAGTTGCAGTAGACTTTGAAAGAATCCCGGGAGCAGCCTTGGTTGGGGTCCACCCAGTACTCCCCTGCATGGCAGAGACAGGGAGGGCGGCGGGCCCGTCAGAGCCGCTCCCCGGGTGGTTCCGGAAGCGGCTGCGACGTCTCGGCTCAGCAGTTACAGCGCACACCTTTCCGGGGCCTGTCTCAGGGCCCCACAGCCAGGCGGGGACAGACTCATCACCAAGAGCACAGCCGGGGCGCGGGACCTGGGGACACGTGCTCTGGGGAACCGGGAAGCGGGGCTTGGCCTGCTGGCGGGTGGACGGGAACCCAGAGGTGATCTGGGCCAACTCCTGGAGGGTCAAGCACTTGGGCTCAGGGTCAACTGGAACCAGAGACACGCCTCAGACCTCGCAGGGGAGACGTTCGCCCCCTGGGGAGAAGCAGCGAGCGAGCGTGGCTTTACTTCCCACGGCAGGCGGTGCTTGGTTACTAGTGGTGAGGGTGGACAGGTCGCCTTTGTTGACATTCTGGGGCCTACACGGTGCCTCCCGAGGACGACATCAAGGACCAGGACGAGCGTTAACCCCGACGGCTGCTGCGGCCAGCGCTCGGCCAGGCCCGGCCCGGGGCATCTGACGCCCCCCATGCACGCCCCCAGATAGGGACGTGTCTCACTCCCATTTTTCTAGGTGGGGACACAGGGCTCCGGCTTCGGGCAGGTTCCCCGCCAGACCACGGCTAAGGGCAGCCTAGACCCCGGCTCCGGGCGGCCTCGCAGCCCTGACCTCTCTCCCCGGGCCCCCAGACGGCCTTCCCTCCCACCGCAGTGCCTCCTCGGGTGACGAGGGGGAGACGCCCCTGTGCCCCACCGCACATGGGGACGCCGAGGCTGAGTGAAGTGCCTGATCCCTCCCACCACGCCGGCCCCTCCGTTTGTCCCAGGCCCCTACCGTCTGGGAAGTCGGGGTGACAGAGCTGCAGGTCCTTGCAGGTGCGCGCGGGGTTCTGCTGCGTGCCCAGGGGCCGCTTCATCTGCTCGATCTCCAGCTTCAGGGAGTTGAGGGAGCCGAACACCTCCTCCATGCCGTCCGCGTAGTCCATGTAGCTCTCCACGCCCTCCCCGTCGTCCATCAGCTGGCTGGCGTCGATGTGCCGCCGGGTCCTGGACGCCTGGATCGGCAGGGGCTGGATGACCTCGCCTGGGGGGCCCTGGGTGCAGAAGAGGGGCCGTGATGGGTGGGAGAGGACGAGGAGGGGTCCCGGGGCAGGAGCAGGGCTCCCTGGGGCCCAGGCGCCGGGGCTGCAGGCACCTGTCCATCGTAGTACAGTTTCCTTCCCTCTTTCCTGGCGCTGGAACATTTCACGCCCATCCCCGAGGCCAGGCTCACCGGCACTGAGCACTCTCTCTTCCAACCTGCACCCCGGGGCCCAGCTCCCACACTGCCCAGCCTCGCCCGCCTGTCCTTCTCTTGAGAGAGACACGCTCCAGCTCATGGTCTTGGCCTGGTGTCCTCGCCCTCTATCCTCAGCCAGACTCCAAGTGCCTGGGTCTCCTCCCGCCTCTGCAGCACAGCCTGGGGCTGCGCACAGCGGGCCAAAGTACGGCCTGCTGATTCGAGGAGACGTCATTTCCTTGGGCTGTGTCAGGAGGCCCCGGCCGAGGATGGAGATGGGAGTGGTGAGGCAGCGCTGCCAAAGCTGGGTGTCCTGCAGAGCGCTCAGCACACCCCTGCTTGTCCCGGGCTCCACCCTGCACCTTGGGGCCTTGTCTAGTACTGCCCTGCCCCACAGTGCATGCACACGCACACGCACAACACACGTACATGCACACACGTGCACAGCACACGCACGCACATCTATGTCCGCAGATGCACACACGCGCATGCGTGCATACACAGATACACGTGTCACACAATGCACACACATGCATGCCCCCACATGCACACCCACACGTGTGCGCACACATGCACATATTCACACACACAAGCACACATACATGCTCAGATACATACACATACACATGCATGCATACACATGTGTGCACACTTCACACATGCACACAAACACGCAGGCACAAAATACGCTCACGTGCATACACGCACGCACGCACACATGCACACAGAAATACACGTGCATACACACACGTTAGTGCCCCCTCCCCCTCCCTCCCCAGCCAGACCCCCGAGGGGGAGACGCTTGGGCCGACTTGTGTCCCTGGCTCTACCCAGAGGCAGACCCTGCCAGCCACACACCCGCAGGTTCCACAGCACTTCAGGCGGAGCCACACAAGCAGATGCCTCCTGTGAGCCCCTGGCATTAGGGGAACCCCCACCCCACTCTCAAGTCTTTAAGGGCTACTCACCGGCGGGCCGGGGGGTCCTGGGTGGCCTGCCTCACCCTTTGGGCCAGTTGGACCCTAGGGGAGAAGAGAGGAGAACCGGCCCTGACCATGGTGCCCACCCCGAGCTGCAGAACGATGCCCGGAAACAGGGGGAGAAGGCGGGGGGACACATCTGACGAGCTGGGCCCCTCCCCAGTCCCACGTGCAGGGACCAGACGCCCCGAGCTGAGGAGGCAGAGCCCTCCCTGTGAGGCTGGGAGTCTCCCCGGCTCAGGCTGGAGGCGAGCTTGGGGCAGAGGAGGGGGAAGGGCTGGGCCCCGTGAGCCGGGGGGGGGCTCTCCTCCGAGGGGGTGCACATCCCTCTCCCGGGGGGCCTGGGCCGGCCAGGGGAGACGCCACTCACCGAGGAGCCCTTAGCACCTTTTGGACCAGGAGGGCCCTGCAGAGAGAGGGGCAGAGCATCAGATGGCAGGCGGCCTCTTCACTTCCAGACACCCGCCTGTGACCCACAGCCCCACAGAGGCCCGGTCTGGCTTCACCCCCTCCTCGTGCCCACGCCCCCCGTCCAGGGGTCCAGGCTCTGACTGGGGAGGTGGGGGGGCAGCTGGCGCTCACCCACACAGAGACCAGCAGGGTCCCGTGCACCCCGGGTCAGCCTCCCACCCTCCCCAGCAGGGAAATCACAGCTCAGGCAGCCAGTGTCAGGGGGCCGCGAGGGCGTGCTGGCCTCAGAGGCCCTGGCACGGAGCCCCCTCCAGCCCTCTCCTGGCAGCCCGCAGCAGGGGCCAGTGTCGGAGCAGCTGGGGCCACCTTGGCCACGTGGACCCAGGCCCAGGCCCAGCTGGGGCTCGTGGGTTGACTGGTTTCGGGCAAGGCTGTGGGGATGTTTTTGGAGTACATGGGGGAGGCCCCAGGCTGGGTGCCTAGAAGACCTGACCCCTGCTCCTCCTGTCGGGGCCAGCCTGGCCCTGCTCGTGCTGATGGGGAGGGCAGGGGAGGCAGCCACTCCTCAAAAGCCTAGAACGGATGCTCACGCTCCCTGAAGTGCCTAGAGATAAAGGCTCCCCCATCACCTCCCCAACCTGAAACCAGAGACCCCACTTCCTTGCTTCCGTCACGCGGAACCTGAATGTGAGTTAATGAGCGTGTCACCGGGGCCCCAAGGCCCACCCGGCTGAGGCCCAACCCTGGGAGGGCCCGACTCTCCCGTCCTCCCGCCGCACACCAAGCGCCTCCCCAACCCCGCTCTCCCTGGAACAACTCAGGATGCCGCCCCGCGCTCCCAGATACACACCGGCAAGCCAGGGGGGCCCGGGGGGCCGATGGGGCCGGAGGGACCAGTGATGCCCTGAAAGGAGCAGAAAGCACAGCTGTGAGCGTGCAGACCAGCCTCGGTGCCGGGTGGCCTCCTCCCCCCAGCGCGGGCCGCGCAGGCGAGGGCTGCTCCTTTCGGGGCCCGGACGCCCGCTGTGAGGCTGAGCAGCCCCCGGCACTGCTGCCTGGCCGGCCTGGGAGGATCCCCCGCGTCCGCAGGGCCGCAGGGCGGCGAAGGAGCGAGAAGCAGCCCTGCTAACACTCTAGTGTGAAGCAGAGGCCCCGTCCCTGCCTGGTCCCCGCGGGCTGCTCTCTGCTCACGGTGTGGGTCTCCCCACCAGCGCGAGCCCCAGGAGGGGGGCAGCGAGGCTCCTGAGGTCCTGGCTCTTCTGTCCAGCCTCCCGGTGGCTTTTCCCACACTCGGAGTTTGCAGCCTCTGATCCAGTTTTCAGGGCCACGGGGAGACCGCGGTTGATGAGGCTGGGGTTCCTAAGGACGCCCTTCCACAACCTCCCCCCACCCTCGTCTCACAGGCTCTGCGCCCTCCAGCGTGGCCTCTTTCAGTCAGGCTGGGCCGCAGGGGGCACAGCTCGGGGGCACGTGTGGGCCCGTCACACCTGGCTTGGGAAGCGGTGATTCACATGCTGGAATGAGGCCCCTTGGCCCTGACGCGGGGAAGGCAAAGGCTGGCCTGCCACGCCCCCCTCCTGCCTCCATGCACACCCCGCCCTCCCTGGCCACGGAGTCCACTCAGCGGACCCCAGGTGCGGGCAGGGCGGGACTCGCAGCCTAAGGTTTTCCTTGCTGTGGTTCCCCGGGTTCCAGTTAGCTGCAGGGGTTCCCAGGGAACTCTAGGGCCAGGTGTGCACACCTGGGTCAAGGTGGGAGTGAGGGCAGGGAGGAGTGACGGTCCAGCATGTTCTCGGCAAACGTGGCCAAGTGTCCCCGATGACCTCCTGGGCAATCAGCTGGGTCAGAGGGCCTTACACGGAGCTGGGGGAGGCCACCAGGGCCAGGAGCACCAGTCAGGGTCCAGGCTGGGCTCCGGTTCTGCCGCAGCTCCCCGTGCACCTGGGCAAGCCCGTCCCCTCAGCTGTTCCAACCCGATCTGGACACGGGGATGTCCTTCCGGCTCTAACGGGCCTCGGGTCTTGGGACGCAGAGCCAGCGCCCCACGTACCTGTTCTCCCTTCGGGCCAGAGGAGCCCTGAGGGCCGGGGAGCCCACGGTCACCCTTTTCTCCCTGCTCGCCCGGAGGTCCAATCAGTCCGATCAGGCCTGGATGACCCTGTGGGGAAAGGAAAGGGTACTTGCAGTGACAGCAGCTCGTGTCCAACCACGTGGGCCCGCAGGTGCGGCAGCTCGTTCCTGCCTAGAGCCCTCGAGTCGCTCGCCGCCACCTCAGCGAGCCAGGGCAGGTCCTGTCCACGGGGCGTCTCGGGCCTCCAACCGAGGGCAGCGACCGGGTCTCCGAACCAGCGAGGGTCTGTTTCCCTTGCGTCACGGCCCCTCGGGCCCCGCCCTGAGCTCGTGACAGATGTGGGGGATGCGCAGCACCTCGCTGTGTTTGAGCCGCGGGTACCTGAGGGGCCCGATTTCCAACTGCAGAGGCACCGGGCCCATCTCACCTTCTCGCCTTTGGGTCCAGAATCTCCTTTGAGGCCGGGGAGTCCTGGGGGTCCCTGCGGGGGGAGGCAGCGGGATCAGAGTCCTCATCCCCAGTTCTGCCCTCCGCCTCCACTGCCGGGGGCTCCTCGGGGGCACCGGTGACTCACCATGGGGCCAGGGGGGGCCGTCGGGGCCTGGGGCTCCGGGGAGGCCTTGTTCACCCTGAAACACAGTGGGCCCTCCATGTGAGCTCCGCTCCAGCCCGTCCCCGCGCCCTGCCCCTCGCGCCTCCTTGCGCAGCGGCCACACCCACCCGCCTGCCCCGTCTCCCGGGTCCACTCACCACAGGCCCGGGGATCCCACGCAGACCGTCAGGCCCGGGCTTCCCGGGGGCCCCCTGGGGACCAATGGGGCCAGTCTTCCCAGGAGGACCTTCCAAGCCAGCTTCTCCCTGCAGGACAGCAAAGGGGACAGGGAGGGGCCCTGATGCTTGAGGCTCTGGTCACCCCAGTCCAGGACCACCTCTCAGAAGCCCCGAGCAGCCTTGGAGAGAAGCCCAGACGCCCCGGAAATCCAGGGCTGCCCCCGTTCCCAGGGCTCCTTCCAGAGGCTGCGCTGGCCAGTCCTCAATCTTACTAGCGTCCTCGGTCACCTGGGCTCCCAGCCACCACGGCCACTGCGGCAGTTACGGCCGGCGCACAGCTCGCGGTGCACACGGCCACCTGCCCTGAGCAGCAGTGGGGCTGGGCGAGTTCCCCTGCATCTCAGTCAACACTGGGGCACCTCCCAGAGGAGGCAGCGGGGCCACCGGGGGCCCACCCAGCACCTCCTGGGAGCACGGCCGCGAGGGCTCTGGGTGCTGGGCTGCATGCCCACCACACCACACACACGCACCCGCCCGGTCCTCAGCCCCGTGGGGGGCCCTGTCACAGTCACCGCGTCACAGGCGGGGCAGTGGGGGACTGAGCAGGTCAGCACCAGGCCCGAGAGCGCTCAGCCCTGGCCTCCCCAACTCAGGCCTGTGGGGTCAGAGGCCCCCGAGCCAGAGGCCCAGCCAGGCCACCTCCCTCGGAGAGGACAGACCCCCCCCCCGCCCAGGTCGGCAGCGACAGTGGGCCTCCCTCGGGGGGCCCGCCAGCCCCCTCCGCCTCGGCGGCTTTGTGCGTTTGCACCACGTCCACTTGCACCCGTGTGGCCAGAGTGCCCGTGGCGCTCTCTGGAAGGTCTATGCATGGTCACGGTCATAGTCACCGCCCGAAAAGCACTCACCTTGGCTCCTTTCTCTCCCTGCCGGCCTTCGGGGCCCGCGGGGCCGGGGGGACCCTGGAAGGAGCAAGAGTGACAAGTGGGCTCCCAGAAGCTGAGTGAGGGGGTGAGTGCGGGGTGGGGGCGGGCAGCCGGGGGGCAGGGTGAGGGCGTGGGGGTCCTCCCAGATCCTTAGAAGGAGCCCCAGGTACTCCGGCTCCAGAAAAGGCCTCTGGGTCCGTCAGGAGGTGGGGGTGGGGCCCCTCCAGCCGCCGAGTGTGGGGCCTCCCTTCCTGGGCGCCCCAAGCGCCAGCGAAAGGACAGACTACTCCACGCGCGGGAGGCCTCCTGGCTTGCTCTGACTTTCCCGGGCTGGGCCCGGCGGCAGGCGCTTTTCCTGCGCCGTGGGTGCTTCCCTCCCAGGATGGGCTCACTGAGGGCGTCAGCTGTCGGCCCGTCCCAGAAGCAGTGGCGCGTCGGCCCGGCAGGCCTGAGCCTGGAGGACGTGGCAGGAGGCTGAGCGGGGAACACGCTTCACACAGAAGCACCTCCTCATCGGGGCCGCACGGGGCACCGGGGTCCACACTGGGGCGGTGGGGGGCACGCGCACACGGGAGGGTGAGGGGCCAGGGCGCCTTGCAGAACCGCTTACCCTTTTTCCTGGTGGCCCAGATGGGCCTGGCTCACCAGTGGGGCCCGGGGATCCCTGGTGCCAGAGGAAGAGCAGAGCATTAGGCGCAGGGCCCGTCAGACTCAGACGCGGCCGCCGTGGGCTGGTCCAAGGCGGAGCAAACGCATGGGGCTTTCAGTCTCACGCGTCCTTGGCCAGCCCCGAAGCTGCCTCTCTCCTTCTGCAGAACTAGTCTGGAGTGGAGGTGGCCCTGGAAGTCCCTGCTCTGACCTCTGCCCTCAGCGCTCGGGCTGCGTGTGGGACCCGCCTCCACCTGCAGTTCCGCTGATTTGGGAGAACTTCCCCACCACACCTGCCGGCACCCCTTCTAGACCCCGAGGATGGGGAGGTTGGGTGTCGCCCCAGCCGGGAAGTGGTGGGACAGTGGGCGTCCCTCCAGGGCACCTGGCCCCAGGGCCGGCGTCCCTCAGCTTTGAAGCTTGAAGCAGGGTTTGAAAACCTCGACGCCAGGTGAGAGGCAACGAGGAGTGTGAGCTCGGCGCCAGGGGCTGGTGTGAAAAGCGCTCTTCGGGAGGGCGTCCGACCCGGACAGGCAGAGACGGGATCCTGACGTTCCTGGGGGGCTTCTGGGGGGGGCGCGGGGCTCTGGGTGCAGAGCCACTGGTGGGACTGGGGCTGTATCTTCCCTTCTGGGAGGACGGTCCCCAGCTCTCCACGGTCTCCGGAGGGAGCTCACGGCCTCAGTGGGGCTGGAGCGTCACTATTCTAAGGCAACTGGGTTTGGGTTTTTCTGAGAAATGAACAAGTCTCAAGACCCAACACCTCCCCAAGAGGCTGCCTTAAGGTCCTGAGAGGTCACCGGCAGACTCACCGTTTGCCCGGGTTCCCCGTCGTCTCCTTTGTCACCTGGGGGACCGTCTTGACCCTGTGGGGACAAAAGCAAGTTCCGCTGCCACCTGGACAGCACCTGAGTTCAGGTACCCATACCCAGTGCATCCCTAGTCCCGACCCGAAAATCACCCCCGGCTCCCAGGGAGCTCAGAAGCGGGAAGCGTATTTCGACTTCCCATCATCAGAGCGTGGGTGCCACTGCGGAGAGCAGCCACGCCCCAAGAACGTGGGCCCACAGGGAGGGCGGCGGGCCGCGGGCACCCAGGGCTCTGCGCCTCGAGCACCTACCGCAGGGCCAGGCTCTCCGGGGGGACCGGGATCTCCAGGAAAACCAACTGGGCCCTGAAACAGAGGAGGAGAGGCCCGGCGGGGCCCTCAGGACCCCGTCTGCAGCGAGCACCCCAGCCCCGGCCTCCACACCCGGAGCCCCGCCAGCCGACACCTCGTGCCTTCGCACCAGGAAGCCCTGCCCAGATCGTCGTCTCATCTGATCCACTCGAGCCCGGGAGCGGGCACGGCAGGGCCGCCCTCTCGCCCAGACCTCTGCTCCCGGAGACCCCGGGTGACGCTGGAGCCTGGGCCTTTAACTTCTAGCACGTGCGGCTCCAAAGACGCTCCAGACGCAAAGCCAGGGCAGGAGGGGGGCCACACGGAGCCCGTTCCACCCAGCAAACGGCCCGCTCCGCACACACGGCCTCCGAGGCGTCTCCCCTTTCCCACCTCTACTGTTCTGGTTCAGCAGCTGGTGTGGGAACCCCTACACCCCAAGACACACTGTGGCCGGGAAGCTTTGGCGCGCTGCCCGCGAGTGGGACGCCCCAGTGGGAGGGGCTGCCGCCTGGCCTCGGGGCCCACGGCCTCTCGCGGGTACTCACGGGGCTGCCTTTGGGACCGTCGTCTCCGGGAGGGCCCTTGGGTCCGGGGGCCCAGCAGCACCAGAAGGGCCCGACTCGCCCTTCTCTCCCCTTTCACCCTTGGGTCCCTGCAGGGAGAGGCCGGGACCACATTACCAGAGCTGGCCTCGCACCGGCCAGAGCCAGGAGCTGGCCCGCGTGTGCCCTCGCCGGCATCACGTGGAGCGGGCGCACCCTGACTGTGGCTGGGCCCTGTTTCCCCAGGAACCTGAGGCCGAGACTCGGCTTCGAGGTGGGAAGGACTGATTCCTGACTTGACAGCGGACAGCGTGGCCCCCGAGGGGCTGCAGGGACCCAGGCCGCCAACCCACCCCACGGTCCTCAGGTGGAGGCGGCAGCGGGAAGCCCAGGAGAACTCTGTCCACCAGCCGCCTCTGTCGCCTGACCTGCGGTCTGAATGGTCCAGGCCTGGACTGTCAGGGTGACCCCAGGGGCCCCACACTACTGGGAGCCTGCGAGAGGGCCTGCCGCACCACGGAGGAAGGGGCAGCGGGCGGCTCACGGCCAGCGGTCCTGGGTGCCCATCAGTCATATCTGTGCACACATGCGCATGCACACCCACACTTACCCCACATGCACGCACACACTGCACACACGTGCCCACTTACACACCCGTATGCACACACACACATTCACTCTTCACCACACTCCCTCTCTTTCGCAGGACTCCCATGAGGCAGGCACAAGAGGAGACGGGACTCCCATTCCGTGAGTGGAGAAAACTGAGGCAGAGGAGGAGCTGCCCCCCAGCACCCGTCCATGTTCCATCCGCCCTCCCCCGAAGCCGCCCACTCACCGGGGGGCCCCCTTCTCCAGGAAGGCCAGGTTCTCCAGCCTCGCCAGGCTCACCCTAAGGGGGAAACACTTGGTGATTAGGGCAGGGATGGGAACGGTGGTCCCAGCCTCAAGCATTGACTAAATCGTCCCTGACACTGGGCTGGGGCGGGGACGAGACGGTGGTCACCGTCCTCCGGCGGCTCCCAGGACTGGAGGAGAGGCACAGTGACACACGCAGGCATGTGACGGACGCACAGAGGGGGCACGTGGTGCGAAGCTGGCTTTCCCGAGGACAGAAAGCAGCACAGCGTCCTCGGGTCAGCAGGCAGGAGGGACGGAGCGGGAGGGCCGGCTGTGGGGGGGGCAGGAGCTGGGCTCGCCCTGCGGCCGGTCGGGGGGCGCGGGCAGGAGGCCGCACAGCGTGAACGTGCGGTCTTAGCAGGGGTGTTGCTCTGTGATTGTCGTAATAACTGAGCAGCAATGGAAGGCTTCTTGCCATTGACGGGCCTGACTCCAGAAAGAAAGGGAACGGAGTCCCGGGAGAGCGGGCAGCGGGCAGCACACCCGCCTCCTCCCTCTGACCCCAGGGAGCTGGGACCCTGCTTCAGAAGCAGCGCAAAGTCCTGGGCAGATGGAGTCAGCCTCCGGCACTGGCACGCCCACGGCACACAGCGCGTTCAGCCTTGCACACACGTGCGCATGCACATAAGGGGTCATTAGCCGTCTAGGGCACTCAGGCCCTAAAATTAATCCAGTCAGATGAAGAGGACCCGGGGCTCTGAGAAGACAGGGTTTGAGGACAAAAAGGGACAGACAACCACGTCTCCCAGAGCTGACTCTCGGAGGCGGCGGCAGGGCCTTCGCTGGTGGTTGGGACGTTTGGAAATTCTGTACAAGGCTGTCACGGGTGCAGGGCAGGGCTGCACAGTTCCACCACGTGGATTTTCCGAGTTTCAAAACGCATCTGGGAGGAGCAGCCTGGGCGTGCACCTGCAGGCCCCCGTGTACGCAGCGGACACACACCCGGGTCCGTGCGTGCGCACACACACACACACAAGCACATCGGACACAGTCACGGGCGGGAGTCACCTTCTCTCCCACGGCACCGGGGTTGCCTATCCCACCGGGGGGACCTTGTGGCCCGTCAGCGCCTGGAGATCCGGAGGGTCCCCGGGGGCCGGGGGGACCTGGCGGGCCCTAGGAGAAGGACAGCCATTGAGCGCAAAGGAAATGCAGGCTTTGAGCAGAAGAGACATCAGCCGCCACGGCCAGGCCCCCAGGAGCTGCTCACACTTACCATCTGGCCCACATCTCCCGTCTCGCCCTTCTCTCCTGGGGGTCCCGGCAGGCCCTGCGAACACGGTTCATCAGACACGCAGTGGCCGGTGCGGCTCCACCCGACACGCACGCGACTGTCGCTGTCCCCCAGCTGAGCTCCAAAAGCCTCAGGAATGTGCTTTTAGACATACGGCCGCGTATGCGGATGGCCCCGGGAGCCCAAGCCCCAGAATCACCCGAGGACGCGACCAGGGAAGCGCGCAGAGATTCACGCGCGAGCCGTTGACGGCCGCCGTGTCCCATAAAACAAGCCCCAGCGGGCCAGCAGCAGGACGATGCTGAGCGATGGCGGCACCACCACCTGCTGGGTGCAACGCAGGACGGAGGGTCACGTCTGCAGAACACCTGAGAGGTGACGAGCTCGGAGAACGCTGAGTGGCGCCTGACACCGTGTGAAACGTAAAATGAAGCGGGAGGAGCTGCGTCCAAACTGTCTACACGTGCAACGGGATTCTGAGTTTGCAAAAACCAAACAGAACCACGCATGTGCGCGTGCGTGTGTGTGAGCAGACGTGTCTAGGAGGTGTGGAGTGTACGTGTCCAGCGCTTGGGGGTCATTCCTGCCGTGCTCGGGGAAGCCCTCTTGTCTCCTTTCTAACAATTTATCCGTAGCTCCCAACGTGTCTGCAGTGAGCAGGGAACCAGTCGCTGGCTAAGAGAGGTGGATGGGGGCACGTCTGGAACTGCGGGAATTCGCAGCTCTGCCGACTGAAGGGGAGTTCCTGCAGCCTCGCCTGAGCTTTCCTCATTTTCAGAAAGACAGGATGGAAGGGGGCGGGGGGGCGGGGAGGGCATAGCAAAGGTGCAGGAAGCAGCTCCAGAGGCCCCGGCCACCATGCAGACTCTGCGTTACCTGCAGCCCCACGGGTCCGGGGGGCCCAGGAAAACCTCTCGGACCTTCGTCACCTTTCTGCCCAAAAAGGCCCTGCTGGCCGCGAGGACCTGGCTCGCCGTCAGCTCCCTGCAGGGAGATCGCAGAGCGTGGGTAAGGACCGGGCCACGGCAGCGGAAGGGTGGGGGCTTTCGGAGGGTCCTAAACCACGGATACTCACGGAGGGGCCTGGCTGTCCGATGGGGCCTTGAGGTCCCGTAGGCCCAGGGGGACCCTGTGGGAAGAGGACAGAGACAGTTGCTTCCCGAATCCGAGCTGAGGCCCAGGCAGAGGGCCGGCGAGCGCAGGGGCCACGCGTCCGAGGTCGTCAGGGCCGCGCCACGTGCGAGCCTCCTGTCCCGGGAGGGCAGGCCAATGCCCAGCGCCAGCTGCACTGTGTTGCAGGCTCTGGACCGCGCGAGGCTCTTGGTTCAACCGCGATCGCCCTGTCGGGGTGGTGGGGCGGCCACACCATCGTCCCTCCAGAGGCCATCATGCCTCATCTCAGCCCCCACCACGCGCCCAGGACACGGGCCGCAGAGGACCAGGATCACGTGGCTCGTTGGTGGCCGAGTGAGAGCCTGACTCCAAAGTCCATGCCTGCACCAGCGTGTGTCCTCAAACACACGCCACTGTCGGCACAGGCAGCGCCCGAGAGAGGGACGCACCTCTGTTGGGGGAACCTGGCTGGGACCGGGCGGCAGGCCACACAGGGACACGGCCACTGCCTGCCTGGGACAGACACGCCAGCGAAAAGGCCCACAGGCCTTGTACCACGGCCATGGGAGGAGCCGGCAGCCAGGTGACGGGGCTTTTGCAAGCACGCACTCAACTTCTGAGCAGATTTCTTTTTTTAAAGGGAAAATTAAGAAGCATTTGGTCAGGGGGCTGCCTCTGTCGGAACATTCTGCAGCCTGCGGCCTCCAAGGGTGGTGATGCCTGTGGAACGGAACTCCTCCAGGACAAACGTGCTGCATCACTTCACAAAGCCTGCGGGTGCTTCCTCCTCGGCTGTTCACAAGGGACCCGCTCACAGACATGCATGATGTACATCCAGGTGCACCCCACACACCTGTGCACACACGCACGCACACGAGACTGCAACAGGGAAGGAAAGCGTGGCGCCTGTGTCCTTCGGTTACGGGTGTGAATGTGGACATATTACAACTGTCGTTAATGTCAGCGTTGAGTGGGCACCACGCCCGGCACGTGGCCCTGCACATGGCACCTGCCGGTGGCCCTGCACGCGGCATGAATGGCCCTTACCTGTTCGCCTTTGTCCCCCTTGCTCCCCTTCTGTCCCGGCTCCCCGATCTCTCCCTGTGGGAAGACGCGAAAAATCCGTCAGACGGCCCAGTAACTGCTCGCATGTTAGCTGCTCCTCATGATTAATTTTTCTGGAGACTGAGAATCATCTCCTCCCCAGGGGCCCCTGTAACTGTCCTAAGGAGGAACGCTTCCACATACTAACTTGATTTCCTTTGTAGTAAGACAGCTGGAAGGCACGAGGCCTGGATCGTTCCCTGCACAGGCTTTTGTCGATCGGGAAGTGGGGTAGAAACCGCAATGAAAATATTTACTGTTTGTCAAACTGGATGCCGCGACGGTGTCACGTTAGACACCTCGACCACTAACTCCCAGGGACGCCGCAAGCCCTCCCCGGGGCTCCCGTCGTGCTGGGATGTCTCCCACCCCGAGGGGCAGGGCGCCACCGATGCAGAGGTGACAGGGTCGGAAATGTCACCAGAGCGTCTCATAAACGCAGAGTTAAGCTGAAGAGCTATGTTTTGCTGTCTTCATTAAACCAAGGATGAAATGCAAGCCACGCGGCAGCAGCGCCAGGGTGAGGCAGCACGTGCTCCACGAGCGGGAGCCGGGGCAATGCAAGCGAAGGTGTTTAACAGGACAGACTGAGTGAAACCTCATGAAACCGAGACCCGGGGGCGCGGGCTCTGAGATGATCTGGAGCATTTTCCTTTGCTCCGACGGCCACGGCCCGTGTCTCTGGCAACAGCAAAACCACACGAGGGAAGGGCAGCGTCTGTGCCCCCTGGAGCGCGTCAGGGACCCCATTTAGCACCACACCTGTGAGATCTTCCAAGGTCGCCCCCTAAGGCAGGCGCAGGGTGGGCAGCATGGGTCGCCTGCGGCCCTGAGGGACGGCCCTGCGCCGGCTCTGACCCGCCGATCCGGGCGCGCGGCTGGGCAGGGCTCAAGGGTGGAGGACTGCCCGTGTCTTCTTACCTTGTCTCCGTCTTCTCCAGGGGGGCCAACGGGGCCGGCTGGGCCGGGGAGCCCCACGGGACCCTGCAGACCGTCTCGGCCGGCCGGGCCTTGCGGACCTTTCTCACCCTAGAGGGGAGAGGAGATCCCTGGTCAGAGGCGGCTCTGCCGTGGGAGCATCCTGCAGCCAGCTCCTCACCCCACAGAGGCCCATGGGCAGGAAGTGGGCAGTCCCCGGGGAGGGACCATCACTGTGTCCTAAGGGACCTCCGCCGGGGGCGCCGAGGGAAGCTCTGGGTCCAGCATTGTGCTCCACTTCCCCTGCATCACTGCGTTTAATCCGTGCCCATCCTCGCAAGATGGGGAAACTGAGGCACGTCCGTGCACAATAGAGCTTGGATCCAAACCTGGCCAACTAGGTGCCTGGGCCTGCGTGCGGGGTGGCCCACGCCAGTGGCCGGCAGGGCTTGGGCTCTCTGCAGACGCCCTCCCGGCGGGAACCCGGGGCCTGGAGCACACACACGGCCCCATCTTCCTTCCTCACAGTTTTGGTTTATTGTCTTCATAGTCACTCTGGGGCGATCTCAGACGGTCCTTACTAAGTCCTTGCCTTGCTCAATTTTATTGCCCTGTGAGCACCTGGAACCTTCTCACCCGGGCTGGGCCTCTCTCCCCACAGCGGACGCTGGGGAGGGGACATGGGTCGGGACGTGCCACGGGCACCGCAGCCGGCACCCCGCAGGCCCCCCTCCCCTCCTGCAGTCCCTTCCCCTCCTCGGCTTAGTGCCCGCTGAGCAAAGTCCTCCCCCAGGGAACGCGGAAGAAGCGCAGGCTGCCCCTGGCTGGCGGGACCCTTCCAGCCCGCCGGGACACCTGACCTCTGCTCGGCCTTTTCGTCCCCTGCGGCTGTTCTGCGACAGCGACGGGCGCCTCGCTGGGCGGTGCAGCTCTGAGGGGCTTCTGTGTCCCCCCCTCGGAACAACGAACCAGTCGTTTCCACCCGGATTTGCGTGCGCGCCAGCGGCACTGGTGCCCGACAGGAGTCAGGCTTCGGGTGCAGAACGCGAATGCCCTCATGGGAATGATCAGACGATCAGATCGGGTTTTTTCTTTTTATGTGAAGCCTGACTCCTGTCAGCAGAGATGGGGTGACGTGGCCATGGGGCACCCGGGCTGTCACCCCAGGATCTCGGGGAGGCCTGGGACCAACTGTCCCCAGAACCTGCAGGAGGAGCAGGCCCCCGCCATCTCAGTCTCGGGCTCCGAGCTCCAGGACGGAGGGTAACAACTGCACCCTGAACACACTCTCCACGGCGCCCACGTTCCCAGCGTGGCTCCAACGGGGAGGTCTCCGCCTGGGAAGGCAGCCAGCCCCCTTGCCACCCGTGAGCCGTGGTCAGGGAAACACGCACGGGAGCCACGTCTTTCTAACAGAAACCAGTCAGCGCAGACACCCTAAGTCACCGGGAGGCGGTCCGTGCCGCCCGTCCCCGCCTGGACCTGGGGCTCGTGAGGTGTTCAGAGTTCGGAAGGGCAGCTTGAGCTGGAATTTGTCTCCACAGCCAAGGGAATACGGGGGCCGGTGGGAATTTGCAAAATCGTGTGGCTGAGGTCAAACGTGGCTGGGCTGAGAGTCAGGGCAGGAAGGGGCGTTTGTGAGTTACTCAGGGAAGGGAGCCCAGGAGAGGAGCTGGTGGTCGGCCTCCCAGGGGGAGTCTAGACAAGAAGGAGCTCTTTAATCTCCTTCATGGAAACCGGGACTCCAGACCGGCCCGCCCGCCCTGAGGTCTCACGAAGGCTCCGCGCTGGGGCGATCAGACTCAGGGCTCACTGGGAGGTGGGCTGTCAGGGGTCCAGGAGGAAGGTGCCTGTCTTCCCTTCGTGTCCCTTCTTTGCTCCACATCTGCCCCCAGGCCCACAAAGGAAGCACCATCCCGAATATCCACCTTTCTCACACGCAGACCAGCCGTGGCCCAACCCAGTGTGTGTGTGCGCGACCTGTGCACATGGCAGGTGGCTGTGGCCCATCCACGTGTGGCACCCAGAGCCTGGGCGGTGGCCAAGGCCACGTGTGGACACCTGTCTCCAGCCCTCCCTGAGCCTGCACATGCAGGGGCACAGACGTGTGGGTGACAGGCTGAGCCTTGCCTGGACGCCCCCAGCACCCTCCAGCTCAGGTGACTCCCAGAAAGAACATGGCCACCACCAGGATCCGCCCTTGGCTCTCGGTCAGCACACCTGGGCACACGCCACAGACGCCCCTCTCCCCCTATCCTGCAAACCCCCAGGGAAAGGCCCAGGGCTGGGGGGACAGCACAGGGGCAGGGACAAGTCTGGACACGGGGAGGCCCCTGTGCCTCCGAGGCGGTACTTACAGGAGCTCCTTTCTCCCCAGCTGGCCCTGGAGGCCCCTGGGGCCCAGGTCTCCCTGGAATTCCGATGGGCCCAGCAGCACCCGCTGGACCTCTCTCCCCCGGAGATCCCTGGGATGAGGCAAGAAAGCAGGTTGCTTGAAAGGCTCTCAAACTGCGTGGACATGACGTCTTAAAGCAGCACCTGGTGCGACTCTCACTCTAGAACCCACAATAGCTCCCTAGGGCCCCTGGCAAGCACTAACTATTTGGTCTACCATTTGAAGCTCTGGGTTTCTGGCCCCCCCAGCTCTCTGTCCTGCAATTCCAAGCACTACCTGCCCCCCACAGGGTGTCTGAGGGCACCTCCCCCAAGTGCTGGCCTGGAACGACCTCTCCAGGGGGCCTGGCACCACGGTCCCCTCTGAAGCCAGCCTGCCCCGAGCGCTCACTTTCCGCCCTGCTCCTCCACGCTGTGTGTTTCACAGGGGAGGTGCCGGCGCAGGAGCAGGGCTGACAGGTGGGCACCCGGGTTCATTCTAGGGGTCAGCGTCGAGGGGCCGCTGCTGCCCGGGTGTTGTCTGGCCTGGCCCTCATTAGAAGGGAAGGTGACATTTTCCGTTGCACCTGACTTTCCCACCGTCCTCCCTCTCAAATGGTCTCACTCAGTTAGGGGAACAGGGGTGTCATTTCATGACCTCAGCCGGGGTGGGGAGCAGCTCCTGAGCCCCCACATCTGTGCAGGTGAGTGGGGGCTGTCGGGTGGCTCCGTGAGAAGGGCAGGGGGAAGCAAAGCAGGTGTCAGGCAAGGACAGGGGTCTGTGGACGTGCTCTTGAGGGTGGGCAGAGCCTCCCCGGCCCCTAATGGCCCTAGACTGCAGCCAAGGGGCTGGCAACACTGACCCTCAGGCCTCTGGGAGCTGGACCTCCAGGTTGGGAGGGACCATAGGTTAACGGCGGCACAGCCCTGGGGCGGACCTGCCACCTGCGCTGGCCCACCTCAGCCTTGGGCAGCCCGGGCGTGTGGCAGCCGACTCAAGGCCACCGGGCTCTGTGTCTGCCCGTCCCAGCCGCTCCGGGCCCAGACCCCGATTCAGTGCGTCAGCTGCTCCCAGCTCCTCCAGGAGGCTCCGTGGGCCCTCTCAGCCCTCCCTCCAAACCGCCCGGCTCTCCACCTTTCCTCGGACAGCGCGCCCCGTCACCCGGCTGCCAGCTCGGGGCACACTGTCCACGTCCCGCCGGAGCCCACCTCGTGCACCACGGCCTTCCCAGGGCCCACGTGGGACTAGCGCGGGCGTGCTTGCTCCCGGGCCTTGGAGCCGTCTCCCCCGCATGGCAGCTTTGCGGGAGAGGGGTGGAGGGGGCTTGGGGCTGGGCCAGCACACTCACCGCGGGGCCTGGCGGACCAGGGGGGCCCTCGCTGCCTTTCAGTCCCAGCGCCCCCTGCAAGGCAACAAGATGTGAGCAGGGCACTGCGCGGAGAGGTCCCCAGGCTGGGCGGTGTCCAACTCCCCCCCGGCCGACCCCTCACTCACCACTGGGCCAGGAAGCCCTCGGTCCCCAGGGAAGCCACGTAACCCTGGGGGTCCGTCTTTCCCAGGAAGGCCGGCGGGGCCTGGATCACCCTGAAATCAGAGCCGGAGATCAGTTTCTGAGTGATGCCCGGGACCTGGGTGGACGGGGAGCTGGGCAGGGCCTTGCCAGCCAGACCTGCCCGAGACCTGGGGTGCAGGGGCTCTTGGCTTTGAAGGAATCTCTCAGGCTTGACTTGATCACTTGGTTGGCAGCCGGAGTGCAGCCCAGCTCACACGCTGGGGCAGGTGGGTGGGTCGCTTCTGGGTGTGGTGTGGGGACGGGCTCCACCTGGGCTCCTCGGAGTCCCCCTCCCACCACGTCCTTTGGGGCCACAGTGGGCTGAGCAGGGGCTGAGGGCCAGGCGGCTGCTTTTCACGTATCTGGGGTTCCTCCTAAGACCGGGCCCAGGTGAAGGAATGCGTGACCACAGCCTTGGAGACCTTTACTAAAGCTTTGACATCTTCCAGAATTTTCTCTGGGGTCCAACATGGGAGCATGGGGTCTCCAAACCAGCACGCCTTTGGCCTCCTTTCCAACCTCAGAGAGCTCTCTTCACGGCCGGGCAGCTGTCTATGAATTATACACACGTGTACTCGAGCACAATTTGCCTGCACGTATGTTGACACACGTGTGTCCTTCTTTCCGGATTTCTTGATTACTTGTCAAGTTTACTTTCTTGGACGTGGTCCTACAAAGGGCTGGAGAGTTTGCACTTCCTATGTCTCTCACGGAACAGCTGAATAGGGCAGGACTGTTCATTTTTACCCTAAAACACAGGCAGTCCCAAGCACCACTCTGGGGCGCCCAGGCTGGCGACAGAGGAACAGACGGGACGCCGAGCCGGCGCTGGGAGGTGGGGAGAAACACGCCCACTTTCCATTCACCTCGCACGGTGGGGAGTTTTTAAGAGGGTCTCCTTCTGCTACATTTGGTTTAGACACATGAAGCGTCAGGCAGTTTTATCCATTTCTGGGGATGGGCGGCCCGGGCAGACGCCGGGCCCCTGCCCCTGTCACGCACATCCCTGCAGCAGGTCAGCTTCGGTCTTCCTTCAAAGCGAGCAAGAGGGGAGCCAGGTTCCTGGTTTGGGCAGTGGGTCAGCACAAAGAGCACCTGCCTGAGGAGCTGGCCGTCCATCAGAAAAAAGCAGGAGAAAGACACAGCCAAGGGCCGCTCTGTCCTCAGGAAAGTCTGCCCGGCATGGACTCCCAGGGACTCACCTTCGTCCCCTCTTTTCCGGCGAGGCCCGGGAGCCCCTGTTCACCGGGGGGGCCCGGGGCCCGGGGTGGCCACGCTCACCCATCGGACCAGTTTCTCCCGTGGGACCCTGTGGGGAAGATCTGTGTCAGCCACGCAACAGGTTCAAGGACCACGCCAGGGAGCGAGCTTCTCTTCCTAAGCGTGAGGACGGCCCTGGCCACAGAGCCCACCAGCCCTCCACGGTCCCTGGCAAGTTCCTCCTGCCAGTAAAAATCCAGAAAGAAAATGGTCAAAGCACTTGAGTGGGCGGTCCTGTGCTTCCTCCCCAGGGAAGCGGGGATTCACGGGGAATCCAGCGCAGAGAGGGGCGGCCCCGGCCCCCTCAGGGGCGGCGGGGAGCCAGCCCACGTCTCCTGCAGCCGTGGCTCAGGGGGCCAACATCTTATTTATTGCCCTGTTAGGCGTGAACTCTGAGCAGCAAGGCGACCTCGCCCCGTTCTGCGGCTCTGAGCCTGCAGGCCCGGCCTCGCGTGGACGTGTCAGCACTTAGAACACCAGGCCCCGGGCACTGGGACTCGGCGCCCGTGGCTCTGCCTGCTGGCTTTGCGTGGCGACGCCTGCGTCACTCCCGGCCCCTGGTCCCCGCGCGGAGCACAGCTCCCAGGCCACCAAGCTGAACAAGCACTGTAGCCCCTCTGACGCTCGTCGGCTGCGCCCACACCACAAGAGGGGGGAGGCCTGCACCCCAGCACGGCCCTCCCCCCGTGGGCGGGGGCACAGGATGACCTTTGACACTGGGGCGCTGCATCTCACCTGAGGGCCGACCACTCCTGGGGGGCCTGGAGGGCCGGTCTTGCCTTGGAAACCCTGTGAAGAGAGGGTGGGGTCTCAGCAGGAGGCTAGCCCCCCAGCCCCACCCCGTCCCCAGACGGTGGCTGGTCCCGCCTTCACCGCGGACGGCCACCTCTCTCGTCCTGTTTTTGCGTGAATTTCGTAAAGGTAACGAGGCCAGACGAGCCAGTCTCACTGGCTGCCTCCCGCTGCCCTGCTGTGTGCTGAGAAACACCCTAAAACCGTTCCTCTTCACGATGTCTCTGAGCGGCCGTTCTCCGGGCCGACCCGGTGCCACCTCGCAGCCGCGGGCTGCATTTCGGCAGCGACTCTGTGGAGTCCTCCTGCCTGTGTCGCCAAGGCCCCCGGCGCACGGCCGCCGGTCTGGCCAGCCCTTCCCTCTGTGTTGACTGGAGTCAGGACGCGGCGAGGACCTGCCGCTCTCAGGCCACGGCAGCAGGAGGTTTTATGGGCTCGATTCAGCAGCAATCGCTTGTCCTGCTGCGGATGCTGGGCCCTGATGCGTGTGCAGCAGACGGGCCGCGCCGCACGCCCGCCTCCAGGGGAGAGAGCTAAGCGCACGGCAAGGCACGTGCGATTTCCGGCACGTCCACGGAGCACGGTGCGTGCCGGCCAGAGGCCACCTGCGGGGCCGCAAGACGCTGGGGAAGACGCACAGGTGCTACGCTCGGGAGGCTTTCGGTGGAAACGCTACAGCCTGGAGAGGAAGGTGGCCCGTTTAAGGCCACGGCCAAGCTGGCAGTGGGCAGCCGCGTGGCTGATGCGCGGGGGCGGCTCTGGATCGGCGCTCGGTGGCCCGCAGGCAGGCGTCCGACACGCCACGCTCAGTCACTGGCGAGTGTGAGCCCACCGTGGACCGGCTTCTCTGCGGGCTCCAGGAGCCCCCCGCGGGCCCAGCTGAGTTGCGTGCAGTGGGCTGCAGCGGCCGTTTTCTGAGGGGGTGGGTTATTAGGTTTACGTCCTGTCTTTTAAGGGGAGGTACTGGGGGTGGAAGCCAGGACCCCGGCGTGCTGAGCACGCGCTCCACCACCGAGCCGCACCCTTCCCGCTCCACAATGGGCCATTTTTAACGGAGCACTCTCCATGGCAGCAGTTCCAAGGTCAGAAACGAGGGGTGGCGGACAGGTCGGGGGCACTGCTGCTCGGTGGGCCGAGTGTCAGGTAAGAAAGGCCCCCCCCGGGCGGCCATCCAGAGTGGCTGAGGACGGCTTCGTCCCCAGCCCACCGTGGGGCGCGGGCTCGGGGCTTGCACTAAGGAGACGCAACGACCCCTCCCACTCTCATTCTCTGAAGAAAGCGCAGGGCGGCACCTCAGGGAAGACCTGTCTGGAAGGGTCTGCGATGGCCGCGGGGGACGCGCCATTCCGGGTGGGCCTGGCGGTGCGAGCCCGCGTCTACGGGGCACCGGGGACCAGCTGCTCTCCTTCCCCAGCGAAAACAAGCGGGGTGGTGGTCCTGCCGGCCCCTCCCAGCATCGTCAGCGGGAGGAGAGCACGCCCTGTGCACAGCCCTCCCCTCGGCTCCCCACAGGGCACCGACAGGAGCACGCAGGGCTCCGGCGGGATAAACAGAAGGTCAGAGCCAGCCCCGCTGTCGGCGGCCGCGGGCCGTGCGGGGCACCGGGAGGCGCAGCTGTGACGGGTTTCACCACATGAGCCAAAAACAGACAGGGGTTTTCCAAGCAGGTGCCACACGGCATCCCAAACCCCCTTCACGAGGGAGCTGCTCTCCCTGGGAGAGCCCTTCAGAGACCTTGTCACCCTCCACCAGTCTGGTGACAAGGAGGTCACAGTGCGTCCCCACCCATCTGGAGCCTGGTGCCTCGAGGTCACAGGTGTGACCACACCCTTCCAGGGAACAGGCCTGGAGCGGACACCGTGTGAAGCTGGGCTGGACCCCAACCGGCTCGTGGGACCCGGAAACGATCACTTCCAATAAATGATCTTTCTTCTGACTGGAAATGTGGGAGTCCTTAAAGTCCAGCCGACAAGGCCGTGACGGGCTCGGCCACAGGCCAGGGCAAGCTCACCCGTCTTGACTAGAAAAGGAGACACTGCAGGCCCCGAACTGTCAGCCTCTGGGGCTGGGAGGACCTGACAGCCAGGGCTGGGGCCAGTGCGAGGCACGAAATAACCGAGCAACACCACTGGGCACGGAGGCCCTCCTGGCCACTCTTCCAATCTGGATGCACACGACGCAAGCAGTGGGCACGCTCCAAATTCTCCTGGGGGAGGAAAGGCTGGCCGCGCTAGGGTTTGCTTGTGTCGCGACGGCTTCACGTGTGACCTTGGACCTAAGTTGCCAGGACGACTCTGATGCCAGCCCGTGCCTTTGCACACGGAGATGTCAGAGGCACTGCCGCTGTGTGTCCCCAGACGGGCCTCACCCCCTCCCGCAGGCCCCCGCGCCTCCCAGCCCCGCCCACACTCACCGTCTCGCCCCTCTGTCCAGGGTGTCCTGGGAGCCCATCCTTGCCTGGGGGGCCCTGAAGAAAGCGAAGGAAAGAAGTCTCATTCTGCTCTAAGAAGCACATGCCTTCGGGACTCAGTGCCACACCAGGCAACAGAGGTCACCGCTTCGTCTCAAAGGTAATGACGACCATTTCATTTCAAAGTCACAGGACCAAGTCCCCC